AACATTTATAAAATAACAATAGCGTAAGCCGGTCAGCTCCGCATCTTGCACCTAACATGCATTTGAGCAAATTCAAGCGTGTCATACCTTTGGTCGGGCACGTTCGACAAGTTCACACATCGATAATCTTAGGTCAAGAGTGACACGTATAAATTTGAATGATGAAACACAAGGAATGTGGAAACCGTCGAGATTAAGAAAATATGCCAGTGTATTCCGACGCCCTTTACTGAAAATCAAAACGGCCGACAGTTTGAAACAATATTGGCAAATTGGAAACCATAGCGTCTTGACCATTGTTCCACTTTGACTAATGCGTTTTGTAGGTGTAGTGGTAAGTGGTCGTATGCTGTGTCTGAACACCAGATGACGCTATGATCAGCAAAAAGTCAAGAAGAAATGTCAGAAGGGAGCTCCTCAAAGGAATCATCGATCATTAGGTCGAAAAGCAAAGGAGAGATACAGCTGCCTTGCGGAAGTCCGTTTTCTACGAGGTGAACATCGGAAACAGCCGATCGACACCTAACACGAAACGGTCGTGGCCCCGCGAGAAATCCAATAAGGTAAAAAGCTAAATTCCCCTTAAATCCTTGCTTATAAAGTTTGAAAATAAGTGCCGGCTTAAACGTCTTACCGTAGGTGCGAGTAATAACTGGGAATACAGCTGTGACTTGGCGTTTTCTACGAAATGCGTGACGAATGTCTGTTTCTAGGTGTATTACATGGTCGCAGGTGGAGCGGTTCCGTCTTAATCCACATTGTTGATCCCGTGTCAGCTTATCATGATCCATTAACCACGCAAGGTGCCCTCCAACCATGCGTTCCATTGGTTTTCCAAGACAGCTGGACAGTGCAATGGGACGATAGTTGCCTGGGTCGTGAGCATCCTTGCCTGGTTTTTGAGATGGGACGATTATGGTGTCCTTCATGTGTTTGGAACAGCATAGGAAGACCAAAGGTCATTCAAAAGATTCAAGAGCTGAAGCACATTGTCAGGTAAATGCCGAAAGAGGGGATGGTGTAAGTTATCCTGACCTACCAAAATATTGCCGGTGGATTTAATTGCATTTCAAAGCTCTATCAAAATGATATATCGTAAGTCCCTGTATAGCTAGAAAGGAAACAGGTCGGAAGCAAATTGAAACTGGGTCACGCATGATCGATGAATCTTGGCTTATAATTGTCTAATGAACTACAGTGGGCCATAATTTAGGCAAGAGCGTTTATGATCTGCTGCGGCGGGGTCATTAAGGCGTTGGTGACTCTGAAAACTGGGAATGAAAATAAAGTCCGTTTACCAGAAAGTGACCGAACTAATCCCCAAATTTTGCTTCACGGAGTAGCTGCCGTAAATTGTCATAGAAAGCTTAGCCAGCATCAACGTTTGGCGGCTGTTATCAGCTTTCTGGTTTGAGTGCGTTCAGAGCTGCGGGCGAGAAAATGTGGAATATTGTGATTGCGTTGGTAACTCCGAAAAGCACGTTAACGTATGGCAATGGCCTTCTTAACGTCATCTGTCCACCGCTGCGCGGGGGGCGTCGTGATCGAGGTTTTGTTAGTGGAATTGTCAGTGGACTTTTTTAGTCGAGTTATCGCGGTTGTTGCAGCATAGAGAATATGTGTGATGAGATTACCTCCCTGCTCTGATGAGTCATAGCGATAATGGTTGGCAAAACAAAGTTCCTGAAATTTGTTTCAGTCTGCCTTTCGTACATTCCAACGGGGTATATAGCGATGAACCGCATCAGCTGCGGCATCAAAAGGGATATAAAATGCAATTAGAAAATGGTAGCTGTCGTGGACATCGCCCTCAACGGTCCAACCAAAGGAAGTCCCCATTGAGTGAGAGCACAATGGCAAGTCAATGGCTGTTTCCGTTCCAGTGGGTAGGTGATGATAAGTATTATTACCTATGTTTAGCAGAACTAAACTGTGTGTATCAATAGAATCTTCAACCAAATGTTTTTGGCGCTTGATGGCCTGGGTGCCGTTACTCTGTGCTGGACTGTGAGCGTTAACATCGCCGAGGATGAGGAAAGGGTTTGGAAACTGAGTAACGAGTTGGTCAATTTGCCGTAAGAGCTCCGTGTTGTCATAGTTTGGTAAAATGTATATTGAACATACATCGATGGTACAGCCATGCAGCCGAACTGAACATGCAACAGCCTGAAGAGATGTCTGAAGAGTGAGTAGCGTGTATGTTAATTTTTGTCTGATGTACAGTGCCACCTGACCTTGGCGACGCTTACCGTCTGTGGCGTAGCAGCGATATGACGATTAATTTGGTATTTTAAAGTTATGTTTGTTGGCGGGACGAAGCCATGTTTCCGTTATGTTTGTGGGCGGGACGAAGCCATGTTTCCGTTATGTTTGTCGGCGGGACGAAGCCATGTTTCCGTTATGTTTGTGGGGGGGACGAAGCCATGTTTCCGTTATGTTTGTCGGCGGGACGAAGCCATGTTTCCGTTATGTTTGTCGGCGGGACGAAGCCATGTTTCCGTTATGTTTGTGGGCGGGACGAAGCCATGTTTCCGTTATGTTTGTCGGCGGGACGAAGCCATGTTTCCGTTATGTTTGTGGGCGGGACGAAGCCATGTTTCCGTTATGTTTGTCGGCGGGACGAAGCCATGTTTCCGTTATGTTTGTCGGCGGGACGAAGCCGTGTTTCCTGTACGACGATGACGATTGGAGCTAATACGGCAAAAAGCCCTTTCATTTTAGAGCATTTTGAAACCAGACCGCGACAGTTCCACTGAGATGAAAAGCATTTAATGATGCTTGGACGCATCTCCGCCGGATGGTGGGAATCGGCTGAACGAGACGGACCGAGGCCGTCCTGTCACCACTCTTACTGACGGACGAGACCGATGGCCTTCGCTCGGGCGTGCTGTGGCTGGTCTTGTGCTGGGAGAGCGGAGGGACCGTTTATGTGGCGGCCAGAGGGACTGGGAGCGGCCGACTGTTCATAGCCGGAGGGCGAGGACACTAGATGGCTTGAGCCGCACGCGGGCCATGCGTAGCCAGAAGGATGGAACGCCGGCCAGCCTGGGACCAGGAGGGCACGGGCGTCTGGACGTCCGAGCCAGGGGCAACTCAACCGTATTTTTCGTCTGGGTCTGCGTGATTGACTCAGTTGAGGCTCGGTCGCGCTGAGCCTCGGAGTCGTGCTGTTCTCATGCTTTCCTGTTTCTATTTGTCCGCCCCCCCCCCTGAATGTGAGGCTCCCACCGGTTTTGTTCTACCTGCCCCTCCTTCCAGCTTTCGGCCATAAGCTAAGCTCGATCCCATATGTGCCCATGTTCAGGTCCGTTTTGCATACCGTCTTTCTTGGCTGGGGGCAACCCCAGGACCTCGGAGGGCAAGCGTCCGTATGTCCCGGGTTGATGCCTGGCCTTGAGGTTTTGCTGTTGTGATATTTTGCAGCGTGCTGATTGGGTGGGGCTCGGGCTCGGGCTCTGATTCGGACCACGAACTTGCCCGCGGGACGGGTGGTTGTATTAGCTGTCTCCGCTCTGGTCTGCTGCTCGCCTCTGCGCGGGTCTTTCTTGGTAGTCTGCTGGTCTGTAATCTGCTGGTCTGGTCTGGTGGTCTCTCCACCCCAGTGCGGCGGAAACGCGAGCGGCGTGGGACGCGGTTCCGGCGGATGCCCCGCTCCCCGGCGGCCTCCTGCTTCGGACATGCATTTATCGCTTGGCGTGGAGCGCGATTATCCCGGACCACATCCTGCGTTTCTGCCAGGGCGTCTCGCCGTAATGATTATTTTTTTGTAATAAATGCATCATTAATCTTAACATAAGTCTATCTGTTCTTGTCTGGCTAGAATTATGCGCCTGAATGTTCTCGCGGTGAATTCCGACACGGTGACGCCGGGAAGAATCAAAGTAGTTTTAATAGCATGCCATGAAACGAATAAAAACCAGTTTACATTGGCCGCTTCACTAAAACACATCACCGCAATATGCATAACTTAATAAGCGCGTGTTCACAGCGGTCTTGGTTGTAACTGAAACACCAGAGCCAGAATCAGCGGCGAAGGCAGAGGCACAGGTGTGGGGGTGGAGGTGGGGGTGGGGAGGTGGGGGGCACGCACTCCCGTTAGTCTCCGAGGGGATCTTCGAGCCCTTCGGGACTTCCTTCTAAGGTCCCGAAGGGGCCGCGGGAAGAGATGCAGGGGCCGCAGGAAACGATGCAGGGGCCGCAGGGGGGATGCACGCGCCGCAGGAAGTGGTGCAGGGCCACAGAGGGGATGCAGGCGTCGCAGGAAGTGATGCAGGGGCCGCAGAGGGGGATGCAGGGACCGCAGGAAGTGATGCAGGGCCGCAGAGGGGGATGCAGGCGTCGCAGGAGGTGATGCAGGGCCGCAGAGGGGGATGCTCGGGTAAGAGTTTGGGACGAGGCGTTGATGATGGTGCCCAGACCAGGTGAGGGGGGGGGGGGGGCATTTCAGAGGTACGGACAGAGATACCAATTAAAATGTACCTTGCGATGCTTAAGGCTTTGTATCTGTGAAAGCTCTGGCCGTCTCTCGGCGTTTTGTATGGCCTGCTGAAAGACCTTTCTTTTGCGAATGATTTAAAGGTCGTTAAAAATACTCCAAGAAAAATTGTAGTTCTTCCCTGGTACCTGGTGTCTGGTCCGCAATGAATGCTGTGCGATGCGGCCACTCGGTGAAAGTGCTGGGGAAGTCCGGACTACCGACACGTGACACGCAAACAGGTGCAGCTACAAAAGTTCTGGTGCTGCTGCATGCACGAGACGCCACGGGAGGCGCGGTGTCGAAGCGCCAGCAAGGTACGACCCAAACCTTCCGCTAATTACAGTGTCACCGGTGCCTCAGCGCCTTTGGAGCGTCCCCTTCGCCTGGTCCGGCAATCCCCGCCAGCTGTTCGCATCGCCCGCCTTCCGAGCACCCCTTCCCAGCATGCACTGACTCCGCCTCTGGACGGCTGGCCGCTGGCGCAGGCTGGCGATCGCCTGGTGATAAGACGTGGCCAGTCCAGTATCGCGTGACTCGGCGACGGCGGTGGCGGGATGTGCTCGTCTTTGCTTCTTGTCCTTGGCCTGGCTTTGGTATCGTCGGGGCAAAGTAAGTTGGCGCGTGGCATGCCGGATGCTGCACTGCGCTGTCTGATGCTGAGGGTTTCCGGTTCAGTTTGAATCTAGAAAGGATTGAGAGCTGGAACTGTCGTGGCTTCCTGATCCTGGCCCCGGCTGCTCCCCTGGTGACTGAGAAGATGCTGTGGCTTCCTGATCCTGGCCCCGGCTGCTCCCCTGGTGACTGAGGAGATGCTGTGGCTTCCCATTGTGATCATTGGGACAGAGGGGTGAAATGGCCCGGGAAAGACAAGTTCGAGTATGCCTTTCAATCATTTTTGCTTTAAATGTTTTGCTAGGACCCCGTGAGGAAACTACCTCAATCGGGTGCGTTTCCAGCCTCCGCATTGGGAGCCCGGGCTCGATTCTTAACTGGCTCTAATGCCTCTGGGCGCTTCTTTAACATCTATGGTGACCAGGTTTCTCTTTCTGATTTTTTCAACTTACCAAGCTAAGGTCACAATCTGACGCAATTTGGTACGTTCAGCTCAAATATTGCATTTGTGTTGCTAAAGCGTAAAAGTCAGTGCTGCTAGGATATCGTGCGTTTCTATAAAATTATAGTCTGTCCATATTGTTACCTGTACTCATGTTAAGAATAATCAAACCTCGAGCATCATCGAGCCAGATCGCGCAGTTATTTGCTTCACCGTGTGAAACATCAAACAAGGTAAAAAATAGGTATTTTACGTTCAGGCATTAATGGGCTACTTTATCTATGGTGCTCTTTACGGACACTCTTTGTTATATCTTAGAGGGAGCGTTTTCTGTTTTATGTTTGAAGCCGCGGCCACTACAAATTCACGCTTTTAACTCTTATTTTTTCGGCACTTTTTCTGTAACATGAGGCGAAAATTCCCTTTTATTAGCTTTCTGAGACGAGATGATGATCCTGTCGATGTCGTAACGCACTCGGACTATCGGGTAAAGTTCCCAGCCCCCCCCCCCCCTGCTGGCTGTCCCCAATTTGTAACGAGCTTACATAAATAACATACCATCTAGTCACGGCCCAGAAATTCGGGGCAGAGGTAGATGTTCGTCGCTAGAATTGCGACGCACGAGTTATGTTATGCTGTAATATGGTTATGTTGTAACAATGACTAGATTTTTGAGGCTAGGTAAACAGAAGGCATTAAGTCTCCGCTTTTTGGTACAATAGATTTCAACACTGTCCGAAGTAAGTCCTTTTCTGACCTGAAATTCCAAGCACGCTTTGGCTACTACCCAGACCATTGGTCTGGCTCAACCACGGCGAAGTTTTCGAAGTTTCGATTAGAAGTAAGTTTGGCCAATTGCTGCCAGGGAGCTAGAATCGCTTTTGAACTAGGGTGGGACCGAAAAATTCCATCGCAAAAGACCGTGCGGGAGTGAAAAAATCCATTCACAAAAGACGGAACTTTGAGCTCGTCACGGATGCTTCAGCAAGCAAAGACATCTATTTCAAGTTGGCATGGACGTAACATCAGAAACCTGACAAAACTATTTCGCTTTTTAACATCTTAGGCCATTAAAGTGAAACAGAATACATTAACACGCGCTCGGGTGGGGGGGGGGCAAATTGACCCCCGAGGGCTTTCCCCGAATGGTTTTTGAACATCGCGGCGTAGCCGCACCACATTTTGCAAAGCTGTAGAAGATTGCGTAGCAGATCGTTTGACATACCAATTTTAGATGTATCTTGTAGCGTCGTTCACCTATGACAGGTCAAAGTCAGCCCATGGTTTCAACGAAGACAATTTATAGGGAAACGTTGAATCTGATACAACAACGGAGTGTTTGACAAATACATAAACATCTGAGGTGCTTTCTTAGGCACCGCAAATATTGAATGAACAAATTACGTTGACCTAAGGTCAGGTACAATGGTCAGACCAAGGTCAAAACCAACCTGATTTATTAATTTAGGGCTTGCTGTATGGGATAGTTTCTGGTGCTCATTTCGAATTGATTGACAGCAGGAACCGCATTATGCATTTTCAGTTGACTTCTTAGAGGTCAGGACAGGCCAATGACCTAAGACGACCCGGGTCGGACGTTTTGTTTTAGGAGCATACTGCCTAGCGTAATCGTTGTCGCTTATTTAAATGAAAACCCAGAGCAGTCTTGTATCATTTTGTTCACTCTGACCTTCAAAGGGTCAAACGAGGTCAATGACCTCAAATGGGCTTGTAACCTTTTTCTTAGAGACAGTTGCCTAGATTCTGGAGCGCTCTGGAGACCAACCTGGAATTTGAAAATGTTTGACCTTATTTGACCTGAAGGTCATGACCTATGAAGCTGGAACCCTAACCTAAGTGAGTTCACGTATAGGTTAAGACACCCTGTGAATTTGGTGTCTCTAGCTTTCTTAGTTCTCGAGATCTCAGAGGGGGGTTCAAATTACCCCTCCCCCACACCCGAGCGAAGGGAATCTAGCCGGCCAACTGGGCGCGTGTTACAGCACAGTAATTTCATGACAGTATCATGAGCATAACAAAATACTAACACCAATAATTTGATGCTGCACTTTTCAGTTCCCTTCTACAGCACTTTTAAAACAAAACAAATCAAGGCAAAGCAAATTAAATAGCAATATAACAACAGAAAATTCAACAAGCAAAAAACACTCAAACAAAACAAAACATTGGACTCCTGCACATCAGCCCAGCACCAAGTCAAACACAATAGATATAATTCTGGCTTCTGTTAAGGTGGGGTCAGGGAAAGCAAACATTTTATCACTGCCTCTTACAAAATATCAATGACTATTTCCATGAAAGTAGCCTATGCCGAACCTGAAGAGGCCCTACGTCATCTCATCCTGTATAACCTGCTTGTATGACAGCAGCAGTTGTGAGTTATTGATTCTTGCACAATTCCTGTTGCCACTTGCCATGCACTTGCCAACTTAACCTAACTTGGAGTAGCCCGTAGGATGAACATCATCTGAACTCGCCTATCTGTTGACAGCAGCACTGGTGATTAAAACATGGTACTTAAAGCTAGTTTTTGGCTGGTTTCAACTTGCATTTTTATTCCGTTTATTTTTGCATGCTTGTTGACATGAGACCAAGTTGGCAACATGCAAATTAAAACACTTTAAATCACTTTGAAAAAACTCATTTTGATTGCCATGGTTAGCGTATGTCAAGGGCAATAATGGGTATGCTCCACAAAACAATCTCTGTTCTCCAAAAATAACATAACTTTTGGATGGCCATGCCAGTATTGCTGCTTGCCTTTTCAGCCGCAGCAAATTCATCCACTTGGGCTCTTTTATTCATATTTAATGACAACATTTGAGATGTTGGCTTCACATTTGAAATGGGGTGGTCTGACTATTTGTTACATAACAATATTTAACTCATATTATAATTGCTGTGTAGCTTAGAGTACCCCTGTGTTAAAAACATAGTACATATATACAGCACAGTCATTTGCCGGTCAGCAAACCATGACAACTATGGAGAACGTCTGGTTAAAGTAGCCATTAGGGGCCACTTTATGAAATTTGGGGCAAATAACCAAGAATATGGAACGAAATAAGCCAATTTCATGCCTTGAGGCATCATCATTTGTTTTGTGGCAAAACTCGATGCATTAAAACAGAAAATGGCTAACTCTCGTTACCAATCGTGTGCTGAAAGCAAGTAAGGTAAGCAATTACCTGGTCCAGAGGAGACTTACCGGCTTCTTCCTGCTCCTCCAAAAACACAAATTCAGCACCTTTTGCATGGTCTGCTGGCAGATATATATATATATATATATATATATATATATATATATATATATATATATATATAAATCATGCTCCTCAACCTTCGAGATTAAAATGCGAAACAAGTAAGAGGTGCACATGATAAACATCACAGGGATAAAATTCGCCATCAAACACTTCTGTATTAGCTGCGTCAGGTCTGTCCCAAGACTCTATATGGCAGCATATTCTGATGCTGCCAAATGGAGGCAGCATTTCGCAAGGCCATTTTAATCCTTGCCAGGTAGCATGGTAAGTCAGAGACTCGAAAAGCTTGGATTTGTCCTTATTGAGCACCGCCATGAACCAAGAAAACGGTTAACCGAAGGTTTAAGAGGGTAAAAATGTCGGTAAAAATAAGTTCCGTGCTTCAAATTGTCTGTTTCATTCCCTGTGAACTGTTCACGCTTGGGTGCATATCGAACATGTTTGTGCGGCTGGCGAATTTATCCAAGTTGGGTATGAAATACGTACAAGCTTGCAGTTTGAGCTTCTTGCAGAGAAACTGGTCAATATTTCAAGCAGCAGATGGTACCTCCAAAAGCACTCGAAAAGGAACGAAGAATAAAGTGGTATCAAACTGGTATGATACCAAGAAAAACAAAAGAAGCTAAATAGATACGAAGACTGGTAATTTTCTCATCTCATCAGCAAGCATCATCTTAATCACTAAGCCACTGACAAATATTGTTACGACACTGCACCGTCATTTTGTATATACTAGAACTATAAGAAGCAGTGAGCGATCGTATAGCCGGAAGAGCGCAAGGGCTCATGGAATGGACATGCGACGTTATCAACACCTATGAAAATCCTAAAATAACCGAATGAAATGTCTTTGGGTAATGCGTTTTGTGCATTTTTGCACATGCAAAAGGTTATTTTAAGAGAAATTTCAAGGTTTTAATGTTGTGGTTTGGCAAAATGAATGTCATGTTTGATCCCACCATGGCCATGCCCGTCAGATGTCGCCCGCAAATCGACTTTCCAACTCAAAGTGGGAGAGTACTTAATCTGCTGTATCGCAGCAACAAGCTGACCAGCACTCTTCAACACGAGAAGGCCGTCCACGTTTTAAACCTGTCTTGAATTGCGTTGATGATTGCTCCATCTGTTATAAGAACGTGCATTTATTTGCTATACGGAGAATATAGGACCTGGCAAGCAGTCATTTCATGTGAGGGGCGTCAATACTAGCAAAGACAGAAACGAAAGCTCAAATGCACTTTGATTAATGTGTTGCTCAACTTTTTGGG